AAATAAAAGAAAAAAGTGATGCAGATTTTGATAAAGAAGAACTTGATAGAGTACGACAAAAATTTAATGCAAAATAATTAGCTCAGCAAGAAAAGAAAAAAACACTTCCACTTGGTATTGATGATAATGATAATCAAAAAGATATTTCATCAACAAAAGCGTAAATTTATTAGAAAGATTTCGTGTAAAAGTTCATACTGCTAAAGATGAACAAATTAGTGAATCTTTAAATGAAACACAATCAGAACAAATAGCTGATAAAGTTCAAACATCATTTTTAAAACATACTTTTGTATCTCAAGAATTATTAGATAATGTTCAAGATATTTATACAAATGCTGAATTATTAACTGTTTATGATCCAAGAAATCCAATGACTAAACGACGATGAGATGAAAGTAGTATGTTACTTCATCAATAAAAATATAAAGAACGTACATAAAACAATGTTGTTATTGTTGTTGTTTTGTTCATCTATGCATTATGTAATTTATTTTCTTGGTGATATAAAATAAATCGTTCCATAAAAAATATCATAAAAAGAAAGGAATTATTTTTCTTTATTGTATTCAGATAAATTATGCAACATTCATGTTCACATACATGCCAACATGTTGATGAAACCAATGTTGGCCAATGGAATTTATATACAAAAATTGATAAATATAATTTACAATGTTATAATGAAAAACATGATGATTCAGGTAAAGATGTATTTCGAGCATGGGAAGAACGTCTTGATCGATCAAAAGTATATTTTGTATTTGATTTATTCAAATAAAATACTATGAATACGTGTTTTTTTTTGAAAGGTAGTTGAAAGTGATGATGAACAAGAATTACTTTTCAGTATACCATTTAATGGTGCTGTGAAAATAACTGGTCTATGTGTTATTAGTGAAAATGGTCCATCACATCCGAATACAGTTAAACTGTATGTGGATAAATTATTTCAATAAAGTAGGAGTTATGATTTATATATATATACATATGAATAGATAGAGTAATTTACCTGAATTACGTTTTGATAATACACGTGGAAAAGCTCATCAAGAAATTTCACTTACATATGATCCATCGGGTACATTAGCTTATCAAGTCAAGTAAATATCTTGATTTTTTGAAAA